TGGTTTAGACTCATTTGGTACTCAAATTCTATTCCCAAACATAGTTTTATTACTTGGTTGGCTATATTAGATAGACTCTTTACCAATTCTAGATAGAAAAATTGGTCTTCTTCCGTTGATGACACTTGTGTGCTATGTGGGAATGCAAGTGAAACTAGGAACCATCTCTTCTTCTCCTGTCCTTACACTACTCATATTTGGGAAAAGATTTCTTCTATGCTAGAAATCCATTAAACTATGTTTGGCAAGATGCTTTGGATTGGTTATGTAAGAGAGTTAAATATAAGGCTTTGTACAGCTCTCTTAATAAATTAGCTTGGTGTGCATCAATATATCATATCTAGATTGAAAGAAATAGCAGGATACATAGACAGTTATATAGGTCTCCTTCTACAATAATTGATATGATTCAAATGGATGCTTGAGACAGAGTATTACGATTTGTAAAGGAAAGGTCTTCTCCCATGTCAAGGAGAATTGCAGCTCAATGGAATTAGAAATTTTATGTACAGCTAAGGCTTGAACATTCAGTAGTTTAAGGGTTGTTTCATTCTTTGTATTAACATTGGTAGCAACCTTAACCAAAGAGTTGTTTTGTGTAAATTTTGGTGGTTTTGATAATAAATTCACATGGTTAAATACCCTTTTTGATCCCTCTACTATAGGAAAAAGCCCCTTTTTAGTCCCTATATCGAAAAAATCCCTTTTTTTGTCTTTACTGTTTACAAATCCGACTCCTTTTTAGTCCTTTCGTTAATTTTTGCTCACGTGGCACGTTAACTTAACTGGAACGGCAGATGTGGATATGCCAACATGTCAAAGATGCTTACATGGACTTAATGACATCCTCCATGTCATCCTCTCGCGCGGAAAATTAAAAAAAAAGGTTAAATAGTAAATTTGACTCCTCAACTTTATAAGTTTACACTTTTTTGGTCTTAAATTATTATTTTTTATTTTTTTATCTTTTAATTTTAAAAATTACACAATTTTAATCAATTTTAATCTTTTCATCAGTTAAATATAACGGATAATTAAATAATTTCATTTGACATTTTTAAAATTTTTTTTTATGACATGATAATTATATATATATATTATATTTATAATATATAGATAAATAAAAATGTCATGTAAATAAATATTTATATTTTAATTAAAAAATAAAATTATATTATTACCCTCATCTCTTAATCCTTCTTTTTCCCCTTCTTTCTTTCTCTTTCTTTCTTTCCTACCCGGTTGAGTTCGTCGAAACCCAGCTGTTGGTGGACCCATAAAAGGTTAAATGCTATGACGTTGAGAGTTCATATTCTCATAAATCAAACTTACTAAAACCTACAAAAAAAACTATGAACCCTAAAATGCTCCAGAGCAAAATTTGAGTTCTCTTTCACAATTACTAGTTTCATTAAAGCCACTGAGTTCATCAAGCCAATATATCTCACCAAATCAAATTAACCCTTTTACAGCAATAACATATAGTTCATTGTAGGACTGCAGCTGTTTCTTCAATCGTTGTTAAGAATCACTGAGGTCCTTTGAGAGCTGGTCTTGTAGTACCTGTTCACGTCCTTTTGCAGCTGCTAGCTCTTGTTCGGCATATAAGAATTGATCCCGGAACTTTTTCCTCTCAGCTTCTGCAAATGATACAAATACATCACACATGAGATGAGAAATATAGGAAGATAATCCAAAGAGTAATTAAAAAACAAAAAAATTGCAAAACTCAAATATAATCTAGTACCAGCTTTGAACAAATTTTGATTTAAAACCTCCAGTTTAGACTGATAATCATCAACTTGGCTCTGTGCAGTAGTAAGAGCATCTACAAAATCTGCTTTCACCTAAAACAATGAGACAGAAAGGCAATTTTTATATTTCTCATTTCTCAGTTGAATGAATCAAGTACCACTCTCTCCATATGTACACAGTGGACAGTGAGCGAGCAGCAGCAGCAACAACTAGTAACTAATGTAAGATGTGCAGAGGGATAAGGGTAGGGGTGGTGTTTTCTTACCATTTGGTGGC